CGGGGAAAGGGAAAAAGAGGAGGTTGCAAATTCCCAAAACAACCAATGCAATCCAATTAGTGCATATGCAATGCTTGCAGGAACTCCACTTCATACATACACTCCCCGTGCTCCCTGTGACTAAGGCTTCAGCAGCACCCCTAGGGGAAGAGAATATGCTGTACTCATATACGCTGACATATTTTTCATTAATTTTAATAAAAATTCCCACCTTCTGGATTTTACAAGGATTCTTTGCCTCTCACTTCCCCTAGTACTGAAAAATGAGGCAAAGCATACAAAGGGGGCAACAGGAAAAACATTAAAAAAAAAAGCACACACACACACACACCCCCCCCCGCTATTTTTGTTACCAAATACAACACAAAAAGAAGTAACAAAGGTTTCAAGGTTAGTGAGAAGGGTTTTGACTGCAGGCAGTTGGCCAAGGGCTGGCTGACCATCCTGGGGAGGCTGACTGCCCTCTGCTGAAGGCACACAGCCCTGCTCCAGGGAACCAGCCCATCGCTTCCAAACGCTGCTGTGGCACAGGCTTACTGAATTCAGGCAGCAGCAACCTGCCACACAGGTGTGCAAATGCTCACACCAGGGTCACTTTGCCTGGTGTTGGCTCTGCTCTGGCCTGCATCCATGCCTGGCCCAAGGTAAGGGAGCCACGACCCAAAAGATACTTCTTTTATAAATCTTCCAAGCAGCCACGCTGCACTCTCAATGGCAAAAAATCCCCAGGATCCCTGCCCAAGTTGCGGTAGTGGGGAATAGGTGTTGCACTGACTATGCCTACACAAGAGTAGGCTGATGCACTTTGTTCTCCAGGGGTAGAGCTGACATGGTAAGTGGAGGAACAGTCTTCAGAAGAACAGTTAGAATAACAGATTTAAACTACTGGAATCACAGCTGAGTGAGGCAGCATCTTAGCTCAGCCTTGTCTTTCCATGGTTAAAGAACTAGACAAAGGGAGTGAGAAGGCTTAGAACTCAAAGGTTTTTATCCACCACAGGTATCTCCATTTCCTTCATTGGCCACCAGATTACATTTGGAAGCAAATTAGAGAGATCAGAGGCTTACCACAGTCAATCTCTTCAGAGGCAGCACATCCCACCTCTCTCCACAACATTTTTCTCTTGCTACCAGCACAGGAATCAAGGCAACAACTCTCCTCTCTCACTCCTGCGAGTACACTTCCTAAGGGCTGCAAAATTCACCTGCTGCTATGCATACACTTTTTCTGTGAAAGGGAGCTCACATTCCTGGTTGTCTTCCTGCATCTGCCCCAAAGGACAGCTCAGAGCCAGGCCAGCTGGAACCTCTCCCCATGGAAAATAAACACATCCTCCCAGGCTCAGATGAACGGTCCCCATCTCCCAGGGCTGGCAGGAGTAGCAGCAATGAGGGTCTGAGACTCAAAAGCCTCTTTGGGGGCGGGGGGAAGGGGACAAACACAAAACTTTCTCAATAGTGACTCCAGTTCTAATGGATTTTTTTCATGTTTCTCAAACAACAGGTATGACACAGCACTGGGACAGAGACAGGACAAAAATACTTCTCCCCTTCTCAAATCACCCTCACTGCCAGACTTCTCCACCTGTTAAACCTTTCTGGTGGGTTTATGCCAGCAGCAGCTAGCAGGATCTTTGCAAGAAATAGCTGGGGAGAAAGATGGGAGAACTTGGTTGTCTGATGCTCATGTTTCTCAAACAACAGGTATGACACAGCACTGGGACAGAGACAGGACAAAAATACTTCTCCCCTTCTCAAATCACCCTCACTGCCAGACTTCTCCACCTGTTAAACCTTTCTGGTGGGTTTATGCCAGCAGCAGCTAGCAGGATCTTTGCAAGAAATAGCTGGGGAGAAAGATGGGAGAACTTGGTTGTCTGATGCTACGGATAGCATGACTGCCAGTCACAGCCATGAAAGAGCTCTGAAAGAGCACTGCCTCAGACCTATCCAAGCAACCTCCCTCAAGAATCAGCCATAATCCACCTGGTTTTCCATCAGTCCACGAGCACGGGAGCCTGAAGCTCAATTCTTAAATGCCACTACCAGAACTGCAGGCATTAAGGGTGAGTTGAAGCTGGAAGAAACTCTGAGCCTAGACCTATGTTTCCAGTTGGCACCAGGAGAAACTGGGAAGCGGTAAAACCTTCTGCAGAGACCTTTTCCCAGGAAAAGGGAAGTGTGCTGCCTTTAAAACCTGTTTGGGGCTAGCAGTTGCAGGGGAGATCCAGCCCAAGCTAGGTCAGGGCTGGGCTGTCCTCTCCTGCTTCTCAGAAGAACCAGGCTTTTGGTCAGTACCAGTGTGCTGGTCACACAACTAGTTTGCAAGGGCTGATGCTTAATGCCAGTGTGGGTATACGTGGGTATTGAAGCCACTGTACAGTCTGCATGTAGAGTGTATGTGTGTGTGTGTGTTGGGAGGGAGGCCTTGGCCACACAGACATGTTTGCCTGCCCTGGCTGAAAGGGAGACCTGGTGAGCCAGGGTGTGGAGGGAGATGGGCAGGATGCACCCAGCTGGAGCTGGGCCCTCTCCTCGGGGCTTTCAGCTGCCAGAGAGAACACAAGCCTTGTGCAACTCCTGCCCTCTCCCATGCCCCAGGGATACGGGCTCTGGCATGGGGTGCCAATGGACAGGATTTCTGCCTGAGGAGGAACTGGCACACGTGGGAGACAATCCAGTCATTTTAACAGAGCTGCCCGACTCAGAGGCAGCCTTCATGAATCCCATCCCATGAACACTCCCATAGCTTCTGATGGCATTCAGGTTTGCTCACCCACTGCTGCATGTAGAAGCAGCCCAGAAGGGACCACCCCCTGTGGAAATTAGCTAACAGCATCCTCAGCTTCACTCTGAGCCAACACCACCTGATATCAAGAAGCAGGTAGAGCCAGTGAAGCTGCACCCCTCTCCATGCTCCCAAAACCAGCCAGCACCAAGGTGGGAGAACTAGACACAGGACACAGCTTGACTGACAGGGTACTCCAGCAGGCACAGACTGACACCACAAACACACCACAGACACCCATCTAACCGTTTGACCGGCTTGTCGTCCAACAGGTAACTGCCTAGCACTGACTCTTTCTTCAGCAGAGTCTTTTTGCTCTGAGGTGCCTGGAATTTGAAAAGAGAAGGGATGAAGAATGTAATTAGGACCCAGGAACCTGACTACCCCAGTTCAACCACTCACCCCCTCTGCAGACCACTTCGGGGAGGCACAGCTGGAGCCCTTGCAGCCCCACACCATGCAGTGGTTAGTGCCCTGCCAGCAGGCTTGAACAGAGGTGAGCACAGGGCTTCCTTTTCTCAGCTCAGCTCATTTAACTGATGGAAGAAGGCATTGCTGATGCTGCTATCTCCTTTGCAGCAAAACCCATCAAAAATGGTGGTGACACAAACTGAACTTCAGCCAGCCAAAGCTTTAATTTCTGTGGCTTGTTTTCCCCTTGGTCTCACAGCTGAATGTCTCTTTTCCCCACCTGCCTTTTTGTTATGATGATGTTTAGTGGAACAGAGCAATTACCCCTTCCTCAGAAGGCACTAGTACCCCTCCTCCACTCGTACTTACTCACCAAGGGCTGCACATGGACCATAGGAAAGAAAGGAGATTGCTCTGCAAAGGACATCCACATGCCCTGCTTACACAAACGTCCCTCTTCATGCTTTCCTCCTACTTACCTCAGATTACACACTTCCTACAGCCAGTGTTTACCAGCTCCCCAGAGAAGGGAAAGCAGGACAAGTCCTCTCGCAACCCTCTTCCCCCCCATACAAGCAGCTTTGTCATGCCCAAGAGTCAAAGATAAGCAAGTTGCCCAAGATCACACAGGAAAAGCTGTGGCAGAGAGAGGATTGACCTGCCAGCTCCCCCAAATGCCATGCTAAAGCCTAGCCCCGCTTCACACCCAAGCGGACTGGCTAACTGCTCTGGCCACACACACAAAACACAAAGTGAGAGACAGCCTCAGCTGGGGGAAGGGAGATGTACTCGCTCTGTAATTCTGGAGATTTCTGACATGTCTTCACAAGTTATTTCTGGGGGTAAAGGTGGGGAAAAAAGAGTCTGCAGCCTGCCAGATCTGCCTCTGGCAGCAGTTTTGAACTGATCAAACACCTGCAGGCAGCTCTGGACAGGCCTTCCTTCATGCTGCCCACAGCCTAGGGGGAGGACTACGAAGATTATTTCTTCAATAAGCCCTGGCTTATTTTAAAAGGTAAAAAATTAAGAAGCTGCTTTGTTGGCCAGAACTCCCAGGACACCTTTACCACAATACAGTCCAACAAAAGGAGATACTCTGGACTCCACAGAGAACCTCACCCAACTAAGAACTTTGATGGGAAAAAAAACCCAGAATATTTTTTACATGTAAAACTGGTGTTCAAGAGAAGCTCCAGCCTCAGAAACAATACAGCACTGAGAGGTTCACAACTGTGGAGCATGTATCTTCCAAGGCAAAGGACACCCAAGTGCATAGTGACCCTTCGGTCAACACTGCTATCAGGCTGTGGTTCAGCCAACCAGTGGTTCTCCAGTGGGGAAGTTCCCAGGGTTGGAGCAGGTTCACTCTCTAGACACACAGAAACAAGGAAATCATGTTCCAGCCCACTGGAGCCAAGTCACAAGCTTCAAGTCACCTATGGACCAGAGACTCCCAGGCAATCTGCACCACCCTACCTGGAGAGGAAACAGCCTGCAGAGTATGTACCTAGGTAAGAAAGGAGAAACAACAGGGCACATTTTGCCATTGGTTCTGCCATGCTTTATTTGCCTGCCAGGTTTGTGCAACATTTGGCTCTTCACCGGGCTGCTAAAGGGACAGACACGACATCACAGCTGTACAACACATGATGGCAAGGATTCCACAACAAAAACAGCACATGTACAAGCATTTTGGATGCAAAAGATTCTGGTTTATCACTGGGATAGGAAAAATTCTGGTTTATCAGTGAAATACAAATACGTGTCCAATGTAGTCAAAGTCCCAAAACACTTTTCATGATAAGCAGACATGAAATTTGCTCTGTCAACATACAGCATGAAAGCATAACTCCATAGCCTGATGGGTCACAGGTGTGAAACTGAACTTGCAACCCCTGAATCTTAAAAGCACCTAGCAGTGGTTTGCACATAGGCAGAAATAGCCACATATTGCTATCTGTGACCTAGCCACTGGGGCAAAACAGTGCCCCACAGTGCCATGGGGCCAGGGTCTGCCCACCCTGGCAAGGTCAGAAACTCTTATGAAGAGCAAGGTATTAAGCTGGGCAGCGACACGTACAAAGGAGCAGCGGCTGGGTTGCTGTCAGCCATGCACAGCCTACCTCCTCCTTCCAACCACTTCAAAATCTTTGCTATGAAAGAATCACTGTTCATCACACCTTCATTTCACAGAAATAACACAATTCTTCCCAGCGCTAACAGAAGGTATTAAGGCCTTGGGTTTCTTTTTAGGCTGTAAAAGCACTGATACTCTCTGCCAGAGAGTGTGTCACACACTAGGGATCCCCATCGGAAGGCTGAACTCTCCTTTTTGCTGCTGCATGGAAGTATTGCTATTTTCTCTCCCCCTTACAGTGGGACAGGCTGCACAGCAGATCTGCAGGTGTGTGATGATAGCAATCCCTTGGAGGCCTGCTTTCCTGTGGACTGAAACGAGAGTGGCCAACAAGCTGTCCTGGCTGACAAAGAAAAAAACCTTACTCCAGTACAGGTTTCATCTGCCCAGCCAGACACAGGCTTGCCAGATGAGCAATGATGGTAGGTGTTCACCGTGATGCCCCATCCCTACTGCCAGCACAGGAAGAAGGGAGAAAGCAGCTCCTCTGTGCTATGACTCTCTCTGCTAGGCTCTCTCTTGGGTCCACCACAAATGTCATGTTTCAGAGCAGCCCTGAGCAGGTCCTAGCAGGGCAAAAGGAGAGAATAGAGGCGGACAAGCTTTGTGTGTGCAAAGGCACATACCTGAACCGCGGTCTCCAACAGCCCACCTGTCCCACCCACAAGAACCCAGAAGCTGATGAAGCACTATGCGTGGAAAGAGGAGAAGAAACCACCTTCTTTGCCTGCTTGCACTGGACTCTGCTACAAGAGTGACTGTGTTTATTCCTTCTCCAAGAGGGAGAAGGAAGCTCTGGTGCACACACACACTTAGTAGTTTTACAAATTAAATAAATAAAAAAGAAATCTTCCTTCAGATTTCAGAAACATAGAGAGGCACATGCACACACACCTCACCTCCATCTAAAACAGCTAACTGAAGTTATTTTACACAGCTGCTGCTCCACTTGAAGAACTCCAGCCTCTCCACCAGTGAGGCATCTCATCTCCTATCTGGGCATGATCCCTGTGCTTCCTTCCACATTCCCTTACACACCAGCCAGAAAGTCTCTCGCAGCCTACCACTGCCTGTCCTCACTGCAACACAGCTACTTCCAGATTTTCAAGTGGGGCATGGTGGCAGAGCAGGCAAAGACACATGGTGGCAGGGATGGGTCCAAGAAGAGCACAGACCCGCCTTGCCAGTGACCTTTGGGAACACAAAGACTTTTTAATGAAAAAAAAATAGTAAGAATTAAAAATAGATCACGTATTTGTACTTATCTTGGAGACTGGGAAAGGCCAGAGATGGAGTTGACTGTTCCAGATGTCAGAGAGGTCCCTTGCTTTCTCCTAGCCCTATGACACAAGGCTCACTGCTGCACCTCTACCCCAGCAGAGTTCACAGGAATGGGGAGCTGCCCCGGAGGAACATCAGAAAACATCTGCTACAAACTCAAGGGGTCAGAGAAACTCCAAAACCCTCCCATGGCCCTCCACCCCCAGTCAGCCAGCAGCATATCTGGGAATCCACCTTCTTCCTCACCACCCAGCTCCAGGGATGTATCCAGCTTCAGTCCCCTCCTCAGTGCCTGTCACAACGCACAGACCCACGTGTGCAGCAGGCAGCACCCGCTGCAGCCCTGCATGGGGCTGCGTGACAGTCACAAACTAACACGCCTTGGGCTAAACCCAGGCAGTTGGCAGCAGCAACCAGCAGAGCTCGCCTCTAGCATGGGCAGAGAGGTGCTGTGAAGTCTGTATTAAGCACCACACCAGGCCTTGTGAGCTCAGGTCATTGTCCCCCGTGGAAGTGACAGGCCCCAGAGTGGTGACAGCAACAGCAGCAGATGAAAGAAGGGTGGTTGGGAATTAGGATTTTCTTTCTTAGACTAACCAGCTTCTTGGCTTCAAAAGCATCTCGCTCATCTCGAAGTTTCTTGTTCATCTCTCTGCTCCAAAGGAAGACACAGGAGAGACACAATGAATCACCCATCAAAAAATGGAGTAAAGACCAACATTTAAAAGCTAGGACAGAAAGGGAGCTTGGGACACCACTAAAGATGTTATTTATTGCCAGACATGTTGTGATTTCTATGGATCCCAGCTCAGGTAATGGGCTCCATATGGTTCCCTTAGCCAGCAGGAAAGACTACATTCTTCCAGTGGGAGGACTACTTGGTGAAATAACACAGCCTGTACTCTGCCAGAGCTGGCCAGATTGCACAAGTCTCTGGACCTAGAAAAACAAGCAGTGTCTGAGCACCGCTTGAATACACTCCCATAGCTTTCTGCAGGAGAAGCAAGCACAGTGCCGAAACCTCGGGCCCTTACGTGCACAAGAGCTCAGCATCTCTCCTCAGCCCTGTTCTTACCTGAGGAGCTCCAGCTGCCGAAGGAGGCTTTGTTTCTCTTTCTGCATGTTCTTGGAGACTCTAAACACATCCCTGGGCAAAGAGGATTTCAAAAGGGTAAATAAGTTAATGGGAGAGGAAATATAAAGATCCCTTTCTCAGGGATGCTCATGGTATTCTCAAAGATAAGGGCCTGCCCTATGCTAGGAGGATTCAGAGGAAGAAGCACTGTTGTGGGAGCTGGGATGGCTGGGTTGTACCCCAGGTCTCCCGCTCTTCTTCCACATGAGGGCAGGCAACCCATTTTCTCCTTTCACACTCCAGTTTCCTCAACTGCTAGAAATGGGAATGATGCTCACTGCCATGTGGATCTGAAACATGCCAGTGTTTCAGCTAAGTATTATTAGATTAAGCCCAGAAACAGGAACACAAGTGATTAGAAGAGGATCTGTAGGAACTTTAGGGGCAATGGTGAACTGGAAATTACATGAAGAAGCAGCCTGCTTTAGGCGGAGGAACATCTGTATTGTTTACAGTGCTTTTATAGCCAAATATCAATGAACATATTCCCTTCCCACTAAATGCAGGCAGGAGGTAGCAGTATCACTCCCTGTTTAGGCCCATAAGACCACTGGGATGTTACTACTTTTCTTCAAGAAAAGACAGGCAATCCTCTGAAGAGACCAAGGCTTCTAATTAGAGTTCCTTATTCTTTAACTGCTTGCCCACCCTTCCTCCACTGCCTGGGTCCCTGCCCTGACATCCCCTTCCCTGCCCATTCCCACCTGTCCTTCTGCTCCTGCTCAAGCTGGGCCTCTTTCTGGAGCCTCTGTAATTGCCCCTTCACTGCCTCCAGCTCCCATTTGCTTTTCTCCAGCTCTTCCAGCAGGTTTTCATTCAGGTGCCGGAGCCTTTCATTCTGCACACGGGTCTCCAGCTGCTCTGAGTTCAGAGATTGTAGCTGATGTTCCAGCTGCAATGCAAGAGGAGGAGGAGGGGTTAAACACAGAGAGGAAGAGTTTTGTGCTACGATCAAGCCTGTAAACTCAGGCTGAAAAAGCAGATGTAAACAACAAGGTGGAAGGGAGGTAAACACAACTTAGGTCTACAGGACCACCGCTGGCATTGAGAAGGTGAATTGGAAGCAATTACTTCTCACTGTGACAGCACTGGGGAGCAAGCAATGCAATTAGTCTGGCAAAGCTGAGGAAGCGATTCAGGCAGCGTGAGGAGCTTGCTGCTATCAGGCATTGTAGAAATCAGAGTGCAAATGAGGGTCAAAGGAAGACTGGAAAAATTTGGGCAGAAGCAGGGGTGTGTCTGTCAGGACTTACTGAGTTGTTGAAATGCATCCTCTAGTTTGGAGGCTTCCTGAGCCCGTGGCAGCTGAAAGGGGGATATATCAAGGTACTAGGGGTATCTTACATTACACCTGGAAAGTCAAGCGATTAGGTGGCCTTTACTGCTGTTGGAGACAGACTTTAAGCTAGAGATGTTGTTTAAATGCCACTGGGGCACAGTTGCACTCGAGACAGCACAATACCCCAGCACAACCAACAAGTCTAATTTAGGAAGTTCAAAGACTGCTGTCATGTACTCAACCAGTGATGTGATTCCTCACAAATGGCTGGTGTAGTCTGGGGAAGAGGCAAAAAAAAAAGCC